TTAGAAAAGGGTTTTGGAGTACGTTCTTATGAAGGGCTGCATAGGGTTTGTAGGGTGTTACAGGGTTTTGTAAGATTTTCTATTTGTGTAATGTAAAGATACAGATGTAAGGGCTTGAAAAATCAGCGGAGGGCTCCTTGCTCCTTGTGATAACCATAGCATAAGGAACCCCAAACCCGCTTTTTCATAACTTCTCCAGACCCGTAGATTTGCTCCAGGTGCCGGGATATACTTATGCCCTCGGTCTTTTGGGAGTGTTAGCCTTGGAACTTGTAGGGTTGGTTTGAAGCTGCCTGCTGGGTACGGGGCTAGTTTAACTCCGTACCCAAAACTATGGAATCCAAACCCCACGCATGAACCCTAAACCGTAAGCCGTAAAACCAGGCATGCAAGACTGCTGGGGGGCGCAAACGGCTGTCGGGGCGTCGATGCGCTTTCCCGAAAAATGTACGAAGGACATACTATAGAAGCTGGTATGGTATCGCTGAGGACAGCGGGTTTCGATGAACCCTGTTGTGAGGATGAGTTCTTTAATTTTGGTATTACTCCTATTTCTTGCCAAAATTGAAGGCCTACGAGAACCTGATCGCGGCATTGGATGTCGTGTTAGTCAGCAATGCATCGGCTAGGTAGGAATTAGCCACGCCTACAGTGGTGGTCAAGCGTGGGTTGGACTCGTGCGCTGATGCAGTTTTCTATCGGGGAGTTTTGTAATTAGCCACCTTCTGGAGCCTGCGGTGCTTGAAGCAGCAGCCCTGAGCGACATAGCTTTAAAGTGCATTGTGGTCATATGGGAGTTTCCCAAAATAGGGGACCCTAATATTATATATTACCCTAAATAGTAGGATCCTTATTGCAAGGCACCCAAATAAAGTACCCTGAATTTTCTGAAGCTCCCATGCGTGGCATCGTGGCAACGCCGCAGGCGCCGAGTCCTGAGCCGCCAGCTGTGTGCCAGATACTCAGTGGGCTATGCACAGAGTGCGGGCACTGTAAAGTATAGCAGCATACAGTGCGAAGAACCGTGCAAGGGCTGCGAAAGTGTCATTTTCCAAAACCGTGGTCCAAGAGAAAGCAAGAGTAGCTGAACGCCTCTCATTTCGCGTCTTGCCTTTGCACTTTCGTTTGACAGTATAAGGTTCGTAACGCTTAGTAATAGTAGTCCTTGGGGTTCCTATCAAACCCCGCAAGAATCTGGCAAACCCCACAAAAATCACCGTCTAGCAAAACTTACATCGAAGCAACCTGTACGTTCCGGGTTCTGGGATCCTGGCTCGGACGCGCATTCGCGAAGAATCAAGGGTGCTCTAAGGTTCTTTTGGGATTTTCAGGGCTTGGGGTTTCGGGCTGAGTAACTTCAGCTTTTCGGGGTTCTCGTAAGGGCTTTAATTATAAGGGTTCGACGAGGAAATATGCTGATGAAGGAGCTTAGACTCCGAGGTCCTTGAGGGTTTTTGCGTTTGGGGGTTCAGGGCTTACGGGCTGGGACGGCTTGACTTCAATTATTTGGACTTGGGAAGAGATTGGGTGTCGCTGTGCGCTATGCGATAACAAAATTGTACTGCGTGACGCCATGTGGCGCAAGGCTTGGACTACGAAAGTTTGCTTCAATGATGCCATATGTAGCGCCTGCGCAAACTAACATGCATTGAACGCTGGATCTACTTGCGATGCAAGTTCTTTCACACGTCGCAAGCAACTTGCAACGGGATACCGGGGTCTTGGAAAAGACCATGAAGCAGAAGTATGGAGATTGACCGGACATCAGACATCATCTTCTAGCCGGTTTTGTAGTGGGGCTTAGATGGGCTTAGACGGCACCGACGGCCTCCAGCCAGCTGCGATGTACCTTACCACAGGTAGGTTCCATCATTCCATCACTCATACTATAGTGCGCTACACCAAAAACGACTTAGCATATGCCAGTTCCATTCCTACACACCTTATCCTGGCACCGCGATTAACACACAAAAAAACATCATGAATTGCTAAACCCTAAGCCTGGCCCTAGCCATAGTTCTGGGTTTGCATCTGGAGTTGGTGCAGGGCAGGCTAAAAAAATGCTACGAGGACTGGGCAGTTGTTTTAGGAACGAAGCAACAGGAAATTCAATCTTGCGCCGAAAGCTGGTATTATCCCCTTGAGTGCATGAGGCTTGGTACAGTATTGAAGCTTTGGACGTAGCCTCCCAATTCTGCCAAATACCCAATGAAAGAATTGCTCTGAATTTGACAAGCTGCTGCACTTGGGAGCATGCTGTCGGAGGCAAACGGCCAACCCGACCGTTCCCTATGGCAGCTTTGAGCCGTCTCAGCTGCATTGCAACACTCAAGAGTCATGAGCCCTCCTGTGGGCGCATGAACCTCTGCGAGCATGTCGTAGGAGGAAGCCGAAACTCCGATGTTGCGGTTTCGAGGACACTAGTACCCATCCTGTGAACTACGCTTCGCATTTGCCCCTTCCGCGACGATCCGAACTCCAAACCCCGACACAAGATGGCAACATTTAGCCCGCGAATGCCTCGGGGAGCCACGGGCCCTTCTCCTGGCAAAAGACGAACTTCCGGGCTGAAGAAGCTGGATTTGGGGTTCAAGGTGTCAAGGTGTATTGTACCAGGCACGAGGGATGCGCAAATGTTTCAGGCGCACCAAGACGCAGTTGCACTTCAGAGACACTTCAGAGATAGCCAAAAATGGCGCTGATCTGCAGTGGTTTAGAGTCTATGGGGCCCATAGGAATTTATAGGCTTCTGGGTTTCAGTCCGGCCTCAACAGTTCATGCATGTTTTCGGGGTGGCCCGGCCTTTCGTGACAACCCAGCTGGATAGTTTAAGGAATATGTCTGGTTTGGGGAAGGAGGGGCAGGTAGTGTTGTGGGCGTCTTGTCGGACACATGGCTTGATTTTGGGCTCGTTAGGGTTTAGAGAACCCCAAACCCTAAGCTGTCTGAACCCTGTAACCTCCAAGGTTGCTCCCTCTTTGCACACCGAAAGTCCTCAAAGCTCATCAACCCCCGAGCACCCCAAAATCCGCAAGTCCTAAAACCCTAAACCCCAGCACCCCAACACCCGAAACCCTGCAAGTACTATAAGGCCCGGGCAATGGTGTCTGGTAGGTGGGTAGTTCTCTAAATGAAGTTAGGGCCCCGTTTTAGGTCCCACAGACGGTACCCGACCCTTACACAAAGCCCCCCTCAAAGGATCCTCATTCAAAGTGAAGCCCTAAACCCTTTAAAAACACCCAAGTACTCGGCGGATGCCTTAGGCGGGCCGGCTCGCTTCAGGATCAGGTCAAGAAGGTACCTGATGAAAGGGTTTATGGCTCAGGGTTCAGGGTATAGGGTTCAGGGTGGAGGGTTTAAGGTCTATAGGGCTCAGGTTTAGGGCTCAGGGTTGAGGGTTTACGGTTCAGGCTCGGGGCTTTCATTTTGAGCGCCTCTTTTCCAACTCGAAGGCTCAGGGTTTAGGGTTGAGGGTTTGAACAGCTGCCAAGGTTGCGCTTTTTGCTCCTAGCAAGTACAGGCCTTACGGAGTAGAATAGGGTATGTTGTATACCACAATGAAGAAGAGCTGAGGGTTAGTTATTATTGCCATAATTGTCACGGTCGTCAGTATTTAATTTTGCAGACCCCCTCAGAAAACTAGACCCTGGAACCAGGGCGCGCAGTTTGGGATTCGAGTCGTCGGCCTGTGGGGGGCCAAGGGCTAGGGATTTCAGGGCCAGGCTTCACTTTGCGGTGTAGGGTTTTGGGAGAGGGAAGCAGCCCTAAACCAAAGAGCCAGAAGCGAGGAAGAGCTGAAACCCGAAAAAATTTACAAGTGGGTGGTTGTCAAAATTAGGAGGGTCCCTTTTTGGCTCATGATTCTAATACGGCACCTATTATTTAGGGTACCCAGAAAGGGTCCATAATTTTGACAACCACCCAAGTCGGATTCTGAATCCTGGAAGCCTGGAGTGCAAAGCTCCGCTGTGTGAGCCTAGAGCCGGTGAAAGCCTGCAGCAACCCAAGCTCTGAAAACCCTAATAGGGGGGCCTTAATGATTAGAATAGGGTTTTGGGGCCCATTATACTATTATTATACTAACAAAGGAGCCCCACCATAATATAGGCAATTATTGAACAGGCCCCTATAGTAGACAGGTTTACCCTAAACCCTCCTGAACCCTAGGCCCCTAAACCACAAACGAGTAAGGCCTGTTGTGCTGAAGGGTGAAGGGATCGAAGTAGAAGTCCAAGAGCTGGCGGAGCTGCGTCGAAGCGCCTCAGCGGCTGCTTGGGGTATGTGTGATTAGGGTTAGGGCTTGTAAGGTTTAGGGTTCATGAGGGTTTAGGGTTTAGGGTTTGTAGGGTTTAGGGTATGGACTTGGGTGCCAAAAGACCATCCTTGCTACAGTATGGTTTTGGCGACTTCATTCCATAACAGTTTGGACGAATGCTGCAGGTATCTTGTGTTAGCATTGGGGTCCCCAGGGGTGTACTGGAGGTATATATGAGTGTGCTTTGGAGTTTACGGCCTGTCAGTTTGTGCTTCTGAAGCCTTGTTTCGGATTTGGGTAGTCAGGTCTGTTTAGGTCGGTTGAGCTTCGAATACTACATCCACGAAATGCCCCAAAATTCGGACACAAAACTCTGGATGAAGGGGAGCATTCGCATTGAGGCTGTTAGAGAGCTGCAGTGGGGGTTTGCGGCCGGGGAGTCTTCGAAGCCTTTCAGGTTCGTCGGGCTTCGGAAACAAGCAGCAGCTCTTGAATTCCTTCGAATCGAAAGCTGCGCAGGCACGCACAATCTGCGAGGGATCTTTTTTCTGCAGAGGCGACGTGCGTAGCCGGAAAAGCGTATCCTGACCCTCTTATCGCTCATCCCTGAGGCGCTTAAACCCCTGAATTTCTGGAATCAGCGTGTCTTGACCCAAACCCTGAACCTTAACCTGTATCATATAGGTTTCAGCTAGGGTCAGGATGCTGAGTGCCCTTCGGACAGCAGCCCTCTGAACACCCTCCTTCAGCCGAAGCAGGGCCAGTCCAGCATTTCCTCCACCACGTTGAGCATCCCCCAGCTGCACAGGGGATTGGCTAAAGCTGTGGGAGATTGCTCGAGGGTTAAAGACTTGCTGGGCTTTATTGTTAAGGCGTAGGCGTAGCGCTTTATAAGTTGATGGGAAGTCTGTGACGTAGGGGATATGTGCGAAGCAGTTCTGTCTCGCACGCTGCCATATCCGACATACCTGCAGGATACGTACGCAAAGGAGTGCTGCGTTCTGGCTTGTAGAGACAATCCAGGCGGAACCTGTCTATCTAGCTCGTGCCTTGACGCTTTGTAAGCGGAAGACTGCTGCAGATATCGGTGATTTGATGCCGACCCCTTCAAGGCACGCGTCGCATACCCTACCATTCTTCAAGGTTTATGGCTCATTCAGACGGGATTAGGCTCTTTGCGAATCGTGACAGAGCTCGCACCTGGTGTCAATGCACAGACGGTCGTCTGCATCGCTCCATGTCACCGAGGTTGTTGCGTGCGCGAAACCGAGGTTGTGGAGTCGTCGTCGCACCTGCCGACATTGAATCGAGCTAGGGTTCGGAGTTCGCTTGGGGCTTGGGGGCTTGGGTTGGGCGCTTGGGTTTTTGCGGCATCGGTCCACGACCGGATGGCGGACATCGTAACGAAGCGTCCTTCGAGTCCTTCGGTGTGCTTGTTGATCCCTGTGTGCCTGCTTCAGCATTGAGGGCCTCATTCAGGGCTTGTCCATTGCTTGTCTTGGAAACGTTGGCTTGAATCTACGGCCAAGCAACATCGAGCCCAATGGCCATATACTACGATTGATGATATAAATCCTGCATTACCCACATTAAGGAATATAGGGGAATTATGGTAACGGTATATTCCTTACTATGGGTCATGCAGGATTTATACCATCAACAGTATGACACACAATCAGCTAGAATCCGATCAAAGAGGCCCGCAAGCCCGGAAGGCAAATCACTAGCTGCTGATCTGTGTACGATCTGGGAGTTTCCGAAAATAGGGGTACCTTATTTTGGGGTCCTTATAAGGAGGATCTTATTATTTAGGATACCATATAAGAGTCCCCTATTTTCGGAAACTCACATCTATGAGGTGCCTCAAACCGACAAGCTGCAGCATGCTCCCTGCTCAAATACCCTGCAGATTTACGACTTTCCGTTCTTTATCTGCCGGATGGCTGCAAAAGCTTGGAAAAGTCTCCGCTACAACCCTGGTCTACACAACAGACGATGGATCCCAAAATCCAAAATCAACGGTTGCACTCTATAGGCCTTCCAAGCTTGAAGATTCAAAGGACGCTCAAAGAAACCCTCAGTTCTTGAAGCCCCACACCTCTTCAAACCCTACTGCACCTCCCTCTCCAGTAATGGTGGATCGAAGTATCGGAGCTCTTTGCCGATACCTAGAGATCCCAGAGGGCTTAGGGTACAGGGCGAAATAGGGTCTGGGGCTTAGGGCTTGAGGGTGTTGTATGTTTCTGCCGTTTCCTCAGGTGGTGGGGTTGGGAGTTCGGGCTTCGAGCACGGATGACCGGAAAACCTCACGCCCGAACCTTGTGCCCCGTCATTTCGGCCCCGAGCCGGCTGAAACGCTTCAGTTTAGGTTGAGGTGCAACCTTGCGGGTGAGGTGGTGGAGATAACGACATAGGCGCTTCGATCTGCTGTAGGAGAGCCAGCAGACATGAATCCTTGCTAAATGTGCTGAAACGACGCCATATGCTGAGAAACCCTCAAGCGAAGCCATTGAAGCCATCTACTGAGACAGCAACCACGGTCCTTCCGCTCCATGTTACTGGAGACTGGAGGTAGAGAGGTTGCAAGGAAAAGGCAGGCAGAGGTTGTTCTGGCTTGGCATTTCTCTAAGAACCTCAATTCAACGCTCGGCTTTGCTCTAGGAACCTCAATGAAGCACAATTCCCGCGCAGTAGCCCTAAACCCTAAACCCTAAACCCCAAATCCCCTAAACCCCCAAAATCCCCTAAACCCATAACCCTAAAGGCTCAATGTAGCACAGCTCCCGCACGGTAGAGTGCAAGCGAGCTACCTGCAGCGAGCTCGCTTTTTGTCGGCTCGCACCACCACTGAATATCCTCTCAAGGCGGCCCATAATCTCGATGCATTTCGGGGCCTTCAAAAGGGGTCTATAAGGGTTTCTGTAAGGGATCTATAAGGGTTACTATAAGGGATCAAAAAGGGGACTCTAAGATAGGTGCCTTAATAATTTGAATAGGGTTTGGGGGGCCCATTTTCCTAACTATCTTTATTGTAAATGAGGAATAGGAAGCCCCAAAATAGTGTAGGTAATTTTTAATGCCCCTAGACTAGTTTGGGGCCGGCCTAGGTAAAGAGCACAGAACCCAAACCCAAACTCATGAACGCCCATTAAACATTAAGACTAAACCCCCGCACCCTAAACCCATCCGGGCTTGCTCCCCGAAGCCCATACGCATGGCATCGCATGGCCCTTTAGGGTTTGGGGCTTAGCGTTGTTTTGGGATTTAGGTTTTGAGGGTTTAGGAGCCCTTCGTTTTTGAGGATTCGAGATCCGTGCCCTCATTTCCGACTCGCCCAAAGTTTCTCTAACCGCCAGAGCCCTGAAACCCTACCGGAACAAACGAAGATCCCCACACTGCAAAGTCTACGGCTCTACAGGACTTGCTAAACCCAAAAAAATCACCAACCTAAGCCCACAAAACCTCCTAAGTCGTACCTCATCAACCCCAAACGTCCTAAACCCGTAATCAAGGAAATTTTGCAGTCCGCACCCCGCGTCCTGGGACCCACGCTGGGCCGAAATCCAACAGGCTTGTTGAAACGCCTGCGTCGGGCGGGGCGCAGGGTTTACCCTTAGACTCTAAGGACTCACATCTTTAAGGCTTTTGGGCCTAAAGACCATACTGAAAGGCTTTTGGGCTATTTTTAGCCTTGGGGTTAGAGTCTCGGGTTTAGAGCGTATACGTAGCGTTTCCCGCGATTCCGTATTGTCAGGTAAAGCCATGGCCAAAGCTTCGCCTTTTGAGTACCTTTCCCGGGTCCAAACGCAATAGGACAAGGCATCAGTGTTTATGGGCTTTAGATGGCTTTGGGATTTAGCCAACTTCGAAGCTCTCAAGCTTCTAAAACCTCTTTTTCGTCATGGCCTGGACCACGGTTCCCTTAATCCAAGACTTAACAAAACTGCATCCCATAAACCTTACCTAGACCTTAGTAAGCAGCATAGGTACTTATTCAAGTTCCCTTTTTTAAGGCCTCGACGACTTTGTCCGAGAGGAGGACCGCAATTTGCAGGCCGATCTCGGCTCTTCGTCTCTCCTCCTCGGTCCTGGGCTTCGCATGAAAAGTTAGGACCCTTACTTAGGGCTTAGTTGTTGGGAGAACGAGCCCTAATCTCATAGGGTTTAGGGTTTGGGTTTAGGTTTAGGGTTCAGAATTACAAGAAGGGCGTAAAGTTTGAGTTTGGGCTTTGAAGTTTAGAACTAGGGCTTAGATTTCGGGATTCCGTTCAGGGTTCGTCTTGAAGGGCTTAAAAGGGTGCTAAGAATTCACCCAATGGGTGAATTTGGCCCAAAGTGGGCCGTGGGGATCGACGGGCTGAGACACCGCGACAGGGCAAGGCTGGTTTCGACCTTACCATGTACGGGCCTTGATGACTACAATAGGGCTCCTTCATGACTACAAAAGGGCTCCTTCATGACTACAATAGAGCTCCTTAGTGACTACAATAGGGCTCCTTCACGATTACAATAGGGCACTTTAATGACTACAATGCGGATTAAATCATCTGATTTTGGAGCCTGTCGGAGAGTTTAGGAGACGCAAGATACGGCAGCATAACTCCGCATGACCCTTATACCAGCTTCGGCCCCCAGAAACCTTTAAGCCTCATCTACATACACCCTCCACTCCTGACCCTCATCTAAACACTGAGCACGCAACTCCTAGCCTAGCTTGTCGTGGCCTTGTGAGGCCCCAAGTCATGCTGAGGGTCTGAGCATTGGCCAGCTCCATGTCCCTGATCACAGGGATCAGGGCTTCAGTTGGTCGGTTTAGGGGCTCGGAGTTTTGTTAAGGGGTTGGGGTGTAGGGTTCGAGTTAACGGTGGGTGCCAACCCTCTTTGCACGAGAATCCCGCCTTTGCTGCTGCAGCTGATATTGCCTGAGATGGAAAGCAGGGACTACCCTCCGAGCTTGAGTCCAGACACAGACATGCAACGTCCAGGAGCTGTTCTGAAAAAGATCAGACAGGGTGCTGCCAGTGCTGGCTCCGGTGCCTTACGTGCGGGCACCATCAACAGTGGCATGCGAGCCCTACAACCACTCAGGGAGCTTTAATCTCCCTCTGGTGTCGACATGCTTGACTGCCAGAGTGTCTCCCTGGAAACAGCTGAGCCCCAAACACTGCACGGACCTGAGCGACGCTGTGACGGTCTGGGCTTTGTCCTATATGCCATCATGGCACCACAGTCATGTCTGCAACTGCCCATGTTCCCGGTTCCTCTTCTGATTCTCTCTTCATCCGATCCCCGAAACCCTAAACCCTTGACCCTAAACCCTTGACCCTAAACTCTAAACCCGATCGGACCCCTAAACCTCAACCCTAAATCCCAAACCGTATAGACCCCGAGGCGGAGAAGCTATGGCCGCGACAGCCTCAGCCCGATGTCGCAGCACATCCGTGAAGTTCTCTCCAGGGCGCGGTGCAGGCGCCCTCGTCTCCGGCTGGGTTCTCGGTGGAGGCAGCGCCTGGGGTCTTCTTCTTTTGCCATGGACCTTTTAAATCTGAAGATACGGCTTTAAGAGAGCCACCACTTATCTACTATGCATATACCCCTAAACTTCTTACAAGTTACGGCTTCAAGGAGGCCATCTGCTTAACTATGCATGCATATACCCCTAACCTCCCTTATAAAGAAGAGCCCAGCCGCCGTCTCAGGCCGGACCGCGGAGCTTTTCGCCGGCGGCGAGCTGGAGGTCTTCGCAGCGGCCTTTGGCGTGGAGGCCGGCGCCGGGGCTCTGGCCGGAGGGGGCCGGGCCTCCAGAACCCAGGGTGGGAACGGAGGCAGCGTGCCAGCGTTGCAGGGCACCTCATAGCGGTAACCTCGGAGATCAGGGAAGCATGCCTAAGGATCTGCAGAAGAAACCCTCTAATCCCCAAACCCCCAAATCCCCTGTATTCCAAAAACCCCTGGACACTAAATCGAAACCCAGTTTAAACCCTAAACCCTAAACCCCGAAGCCCAGCTAGAAAGAGCTAGCGGCCCGCGAGGGCAGCGGCTGCCCTGGGGTTCGGAATCCCCTGCGGTGCACGGCATGGCTGGGGGCACGGCCCCGCTCCTCGCATGTTTCCTACCGTTTGGGTAGGGTTTGGGGTTTTGGGTTTTGATGTCCATGGAATGATGTGCTGCGGCGTTTGGGCCCAAAGACCGGGTGTAAAAAGCCCATTCTTGGCTATCTTGAGCTTTGAGGCAAATCGGACGAACACCTGCAGGCATGCCTAGAACCGAAGAGTGACACCTGCAGGAGACCCCCCATAAGGATCCCTGGGGGAAATCTACGCCCTTTCCTTCAAATCCGAAAACCTGTTGTCAGACCCCTGGACGAATCACACTTCAACTTCCTGCAGAGAATCAACCCTAAACCCGAACCCCTAATGCACAAACTTTGAGGTTCAACCGAAGTTCTGGATATTGCCCGTGTGCAGACTGGCAGAATCCTGTGAGCCACAGCAGTGCATGACGCAGTTTTTGAAGGGGCTTGGGTTTAGGACTCACTTGAAGGTTCACGGGCAGCAAGAACTGGCGGTTGCAGCACTGTAACAGCATTCCTAACCCTGTTTAGACCAGTTTGGAAGTAGTCTCTCACCGTTCCAAACTCAAAAGCATTATGCCCGTGGACGCTTCTGCAAATCAGGTTAGTGTCACTCGTAAGCGAGGGTCCTGAATTCTCTGACATGGGGGTTTCCGAAAATTAGGGGTTGGGGTCCTTATTAGAAGAAAGATCCAACTACTTGGGATCCTGGGGTCCCCTATTTGCTTCCAAATGAACCATGGACCTCATCAGGGCTTCGCCGAGGCCGGAGCGCGTGGAAGTCTTCCTCTCGCTCACCTGAAATGTGGGTTATGTCGGGGCCTTAGTGATTAGAATAGGGTTTGGGGATACATTGCACTGTATAGTCATATTGAGGCTCATCATAAGGCCCCCACAATAATGTTGGTGATTATTTAGGCCCCTATATTGCATTCCAGTGTTATGGGGTTGCGGGGTCTAGGGCTTCTATACAGGGTTTGCGAACTTCTATATGGGTAGTTGTCAAAATTATGGTCCCTTTTCTGGGTACTCTAAATAATAGGTGCCGTATTATATAATAAGGACCCAAAAAGGGACCCTAATTTTGACAACCACCTGTATAGGATTTGCAAAAGGTTTCAGGGTGCTTAAGGTTTCGCGGGGTTCGGTGCCCCTCGTGGGCGCAAGGCGTTAGCGCACCCGAAACCCAAACTTTGCTCAAAACCCTAAGTATTTCCAGGCGTTAGGTCGGGGCCTGAGAACTGGTGGCATAGGTTTAGGGTTTAGGGTTTAAGGTTTAGGTTTCAGGGATCAGGTTTCGCAATTAGTTCAGGACACTTCTACCCGCGACAATGACACCGAAGATTCACCCTCCACTGTTTTGTTTTCAGGAGCCGTGTCAAAGCACTATATACTTGCCCCCCCCCCAACTAAAAAAGACATTACCAACCAAGCTAACAGCAAAACCAACGAAACGTCGAAAACACAAAAAACAACAACAGGAACCTTACAGACCCTATCAACCCTATAAACCCTACAAACTCTATAAACCCTACGGATTTAACCCTATGAACCCCTAAGCCCCATAAACCATAAACCCTGTAGACCCCAAACCCAACAAAACACACCTGTGCCCAGGCGCCTCTCGCATCTCTGCCGGGCCCTCCGGACGTACGCCTGGCGCTTTGGAGGTTTGGGGGCCTTCCGTTCGGTTAGGGTTTGCGGTTTAGGGCTTCGGGCTTGGGGTTTAGTAAGGGCTTAGGGTTTAGGGTTTAGGATTCAGGGTTTGCGGTTTAGGATTTAGGGTTTGGGGTTTAGTAAGGGCTGAGTCGGGTTTGGGGTTTAGGGCTTAGGGTTTGGGGTTTATGGGGCCTTCTATGATGTCAGAGCCACGCTGGGGCTTGGGATTTCGGTTTTGGTCTATCTGGGTTTGCGGCTTGGGTGTTGGGGTCTATGGAGCTTAAGACTTTTGCGAGGCCTGGGGCTTGGGGTTCACAAGCCTAAGTACCCTTGAAAATAGAGCCCTTATGGTATAATAGGGGGTATCTGGGATATAGTAGAGGCTAGTTGGGGGGGTCTAGGTAGAGTTTAGGGTTCGAGTCGGTACTTGTCGCACTGACAGGAACCTCCACCCTCGCGCCTGAGACATCTTCGGGCGCCACTTCCGGGTTCCGCCCGCGAACTCGGACGGTCAAGCGCCGACGGTCGACGATCAGCATCTGCGGACAGTTGGGGCTTTAGGTGTCAGTTTGGGACTGAGGCCTTCCTTCGGATTGCAGCTCCGTGGGAGATGGCTTTTGACTTACCTTTGGTTAGTCGGGAATGGAAGAATGGTTGTACGAGTAGCTATAGTTGTACCCAATCCTCCATTCCCTACTAACCAAAGGTAAGTAGATCGATTGCACGATTTCTTGGGCAATGTTTAGATACGGGCCCGGAAACAGCTCCCAACATGCTCAGCGACCGAATCTTTACAAAACCCGAAAATGTCAACCCTTTACCTTCAAGGAACCCGACAAGCAACCCTCACATCCCATATAGGACACAAACAATTGAATTCAATTTACACTAAACCACTAAACCCCGAACTCCAAACCCAAGCCACGCTAATTTGAGCTCAAGCCTGAGAGTCAGCCAGCGCTTTTGCGAGCTCTTCTGCCCCCACCTGCCGGCCGGGATGGAAGCTTACAGGATCTGGGTTGCGGGGATTGTGTGTTGAGACTTTAGGATCCAGGTTTCAGGGTTAGAGCTGTGCATCTTAATGTTGAAGGTAGCATTCAGGGTTTAGGTCTTGGGCTTAAGGTTCAGGATTTTGGGTTTGAGGCCCGAGGGGGCTGGTGTAACTGCGAGCTTCACAAGACAGAAGACCCCAATAGAGAACCACTCATAAACATTAGTTCAATCCCCGCTTCAACCCTGCAAAAGCCCCAGTTACACCTGGCAAAAGGTTGCGCACTTACGGCGGACAACGGCCACAGGCGCAGAGATGTCTCAAACGACCCCCACAAAAAACCCTCAAAGCCCCCAATCCTCAAAATACAAGAAGCCACAAGGCAAAATATCTGCAACTAAACCCGTAGGCCGTCGACCCCAAAAACCTGCACCCCTACATAAACCCTAAACCCTAAGCCTCACACCCCTGAAACCCCTAAACCCTAAACCCCTAAACCCCTAAAGCCCTAAACCCTTAAAACCTTAAACCCCCGAAGGCGAATTCTAAAAAGGCCTCGGATGACCGGGCATCCTGGCTCCCAAAGCCGAACCTGGGAGGCAACGAAAGTGAGAGCCCCTCCTGGGCTTGGGGGCTGCTAGGGTTCAGGGTATTGGGGTATAGGGTTTAGGGTTTGGGGGTATAGGGTTCAGGGTTTTGGGGTATAGGGTTTAGGGTTTTGGGGTATGGGGTTTAGGGTTTTGGGGGGTCCTTACAATAAGGATCCTACTATTTAGGGTACTATATTAGGATCACCTACTTTCGGAAACTCACTTTTGGGCTTCGGGGCTTTAGGGACTACCTGGGGATCCGGAAACCTACCGGAAAAGTGTTATACCCTGTCATTCAGGGGTCATAGCCTACTCATTTGTATGTTTGTGGATGCAGGTAGGGCTTAGGATTTTGGGCTTCAGGTAACAGTTTTGGGTATGACAGCATACTGCTGGGGGTCTAGGTGTTCTGCTGAGGCCTCAACCGTAGCTCTTGACGAAAAAGGATTTTCGTGCCGTCGCCCAAGCCCGAAACTTCATCAAATCCCACCTCAACCTACCAAAGCCTGGACCCTACCGAACAGCCAGGTTGTGGGGGGGAGGCTAAAGTGAGGTGTCAGAACCGCCTCCGTTCTGCAGTTCTGGGACTGCAGAAGTGGAGTTGGCAAGCACGTCCCCTCAAGTCATCCGAATGTTCATGCCTCTTGACTTTTCGCCTACTACTACTACTACTACTACTACTACTACTACTACTACTACTACTACAACTACTACTACTACTACTACTACTACTACTACTACTACTACTACTACTACTACTACTTCTACTTCTACTTCTACTTCTACTACTACTACTACTACTACTACTACTACTACTACTACTACTACTACTACTACTTCTACTTCTACTTCTACTTCTACTACTACTACTACTACTACTACTACTACTACTACTACTACTACTACTACGATTATGAGTACTACTCCTACTACTGCTACTCTTCGAGTGAAGGCTAAACTGGGGACCTGCCTACTGCAGCGAGAGCCTGTAGAGGCGCTGCTCACGGGCTTTAGACAGACCCAAAGGGTCCGAAGTACCTTTAAAAAGCAGATTAATAAGGAGCCCTAAGTATATACCCTTAATAGAGCCCATTATATCCCCAAGGGCCCAAAGTACCTTTATAGCAGAATGTAGGGTTTCTATATTAGGAGTTACTATTATGATTCGGGGCAGTATCGCCCATAACAACGCTTTGGACCCTTAGACAGAGCCATGCCTTCTAGAACTCATCGGCCGCTGTGGGCTCAAAAGAGAGATCAACCCTAGACCCTAAACCCCAAGCCTTAAAAAAAAAAAGCAACCCCCAAAACCCAAACTGGAAGCCCTAAACTAAACCCCAGCGCCGCGCCTATCTGCATACTTTCCAACAATCCTGCCGCCGGAATCGTGGGAGTGCAGGTCACAGGAGGCCTTTGTCTTAATACATGGGCAACCTGCACGGTAGAAACAAACCACCGCTTGACGGACACACACCGTGGAAGCATAAGGAGCCCTAGACAGGTAAACTCTTTGGGATTCAAAAAGGGCTTGGGAGTTGACGACATGTAACTACAGATGTATGGACCATAGGACAACTGTAGGGATGTAGGGCTTTCCGTTAAGAGCGGAGGATCTAGCTGACGCAGTACGAATCGGACTTCCGATGGTGTTTCGTGTTCGGGCACACGGATGTTTCGGAGTAATTATTATCTATAGCAGCCTTTATCATTAGAGCGGATGTTGGGGCATATACAACTATGCTGATGTTCGGAACCTCCAAGGAATCGCAGTGGTCCTTCCCCAGGCCGCTACATCAAGCTACCGGTGGTGGGAGCCAGAGTTGAATCTATGTAACAAATCTGGTACCTACAAGGTTCCGGGCATAGGGTTCAGGTTCTAGGAGTTCGGGTTCGGGGCCTAGACCTTCGGGTTCGGGGCCTAGACCTGCCAGCTCAGAGCCGAAGGGACCATAAGCATCCCTGACACAGGCCCGAGGCAATCCATAAACTCTTCAAGAACGAAAGCCCTGCAACCAAGATATGGTAGAATGAATGCCCCAACCAACGCAGCGAACGCAATCTCCGGTCCATGCCAACGGAATCTCGCCCGTCGCGCTTTGCGCAAGCTTCACTTGCAGTCGGGATTCCTGTCCAGTGCGGCGTCTTCAAGGCGCATGGATAGTTGCAAGCCGGGTTCAAAAGTACGGTATAAGACTACCCATAATATAATTGCTTGCCAGCCCTGTGCAACCCGGGTAGAGCTGTCCGTGCACCTTCAATTACGGGTTTTGGATATATAGCTTCGGGTTTAGGACTGCAGGGCTTGCGGCGGTGGAGCACAAGCTCGCCGAAGCTAAGAAAAGGTGTCAGCCTAATTGGACCAGGGCTGAGGGGCTACATAGGGGTTTCCGAAAAGGAGGGGTACCTTATTCTGGGGTCCTTATAAGAAGGATCCTACTCTTTGGGGTACTACATTGGGGTCCTCTATTTTCGGAAACTCCCATATGAAACAAAACTTTTTGGGTACTACAAGAAGTGCCGCCTCTGTATGACTGCAATCCCAGAACCAATGGACCAGTAAGCGTAATTGAGGGCCCCGTACGAAGGATCCTTACTGATCCTTATTGCAATTCGGTGAGTAATATAGGGGCCTTAATAATTACCAACAGAATTTTGGGGGGGGGTCCTTATGATAAGTATAGTATAATAGGCCCCAAAACCCTATTCTAATTTTGAAGGCCCCTACAGTATTCCTCAAAGAAAAGAGATTGGAGTCTCTGACTCATAGGCATGAGCCTCCATGCTCTTCGCGGCTTTACGGGGCCTTGAGGGAACTGCAGGCCAAGACGGAAGTCGGAAGTAGAGGTCCAACGCCTCAATCTTGTAACTATTGACCTCCACCGTGTGGGCTTCTCCATAAGCTCCACACTCCAGCCCTGCAGAACCAAACCCGACCTGTAAGGCCCAAACACAACTCGGGTTAAGGGCTTAGGATTTCGAGTGTTAGGGTTTTGGCTCCCGGGTGGGGGCCTGTGTATCCGCAAACAGCTGCTCCACCCCTTGGCGCAGCTTCGAAGCACGCGGTCGCCAAGAAACCTCATCAAAGGGCGAAGCAGTGAAGAACCACCTACACAACCCCTGAAGAAGCGACAAAGCCAGGATTCAATGATCCTGCTTGGGGCGAATGATGGCTACACATCTACCGCAAGCTAGCGCCAGTGAAGCTTGTAACAAGCAGAGTGTTGTGTGGGTGTACATTCCTGTGTGCATGTGTGCGTGTGGGTGGCTATAAACCTATCTATCTGCCTACCTAGCCGCCTTTTCACCCATCTATCAATCTATCCATCCACACATCCATCCATCTATCTGCCTATCCTCCACCCGTCTATCTATCTATCTACCTACTAGTACCTACCTACCGATCTACGTATCTACCTATCTACCTACCTTTTTATCTTTTTACCTTTCTGTCCACCTGTCCGTCTACTTATCTGTCTGGCTACCTGTCTTTCTAACAGTTTACCTCCTATCTAGCTATCTATCTACCTTCCTATGTAGTCATCTACTCTCTAGCTAGCTATCTGTCTCTCTCCATCAGGCCATCCATCTGGTAGTTCCATCTATCAAGCTTGGAAACTAGCCGTGCTACCCCTAAAATCCCAATCCAGCCTAAGCCAACCCCTAAACCCCAAATCCTAAAACCTCAACGCCTAACAAGCCCTAAACCCTACGTACACCCTGAACACCCTAATTTAATACAGGGGCCCCATTACACTATAATTACAATAAGGAACCCCCAAAATAGTATTGGTAATTATGTCGGCCCCTACATTAAACCCTCAGCCCTAAAGGTTGCATGGGATATCCCTCTCGGCTTCCCGACGAAACTCCCGTGCACCTCCAACTCAGAGTCTGGATGCTCCAATGCTTGTCGTAGGAGGCCTGCGGAATCGGCAGGGGCCCTCTTAAGGCTAGGATGCCCAGTAACCTAGGAATAAAAAGGGCTCCCTTTTTGGTGTTGGGTAACTTAATAAGGAACCTAGGACTACAAAAAGGGAATAAGGGTAGTACTGGCCATCCTGGAATTGTTGGGAACCTCTAGGTTTTGGGGCTTGGCTTACGGTTCAGGGTGTCGTAGTCAGCGGGTTGTGTCAAGTCTGTAACCTTTTGCTGGCTCCATAGAGAAATTGCTGCACCGGATCATTGAAACCGCAGAAGGCTGCCAGTAGGGTTGCTTCCAATCTCCGCTGTCGAGCATGAAGTTTTTGCTGCTCTTACGTCTTACGCCTAAGGTGCTCTGCGAACAGCGCGAGGCATGATGCTTCCATTCAATGACATTTCGTTGCCGCGACGGTAGATGCTGTCATTGCAATTCGTATTGATCCTTCTCGTCGCTGCATCACACTGCCGCCTGTTCCGAACCAGTACAGCAAGAACTACTGCCCGCGACGACTGCCACAACCCATGCCACCATCCCACCGAGCAGTAGCACCACTACCACTACCAACCGCACCACCGATTAAAAAAAAACAGCAATATTCCTCACCACAACAGCATCAGCAACCCTGCACCCTGAACCCAAAAAGCTCTAAACCCCAACAGCCCTAAACCTTAAACCCTAAACCCAAAACCCTAAACCACGCCCCACCAACCTTCCCGGTCTTTCGCTTCCGCCGTCCGCACCAGGATGGGCATGGACAGGAAGTTCCCAAGAGCAACCTTTCCAGAATACCGGGTCTAGGGTTATAGGGTTTAGAGCAACCTTTCCGGAGGACTAAGGCCGTTTTACCAAGGCTCTTGTGTAGCGCTGGGGTAGAATGCCAAAACCCAAAGTCCAGGAACGTCTTTGGAATTGGTGTCCAGGTCTTGGCTGAGGGAACGAGTTCATACTTATTGTTCGGATGCTGAGGAACTTGGCCTCTAGTCCTAAACCATCACAGAAAACGCAGGAACCGACTCCAGCCTCTGAAGCCAGCCCAAAATGCCGGAAGTTTGTCAGTTTGCGCGTGGTGGTGTTTGGGTTGTTGTACAAGGGTGTCGCATTCCCTCTAGCTTTGATAAAGGGTATACTTTATGCGAAAAAACTATCCCAGTGCCCACGCTTCACCCGTCAAGCATCTCTGAACCGCCCATGTTGGTGCTTAGCATCTTCGGGCTGTCAGGGAGCTGGACAAACCCCTACACTGTAAGCACTCAGGTAGAAAGAACAACTAAACAAAATCCTGCCCTATTGAGCCCGAACACCTCAATCCCAAAACGATAAGAATCCAGAACAAGAGTCAGTGTGTAGCTTACCAACCTTCCAACCCACACCCTACAACCAAAAACACTAAGTCAATGATTCCGACTGGTGAGCTAGGCCCCAGACCACGCCAAAAGGCTGCTGCCGCAGGAACATTGAAGCCTGGCTGCACTGGCTCCGAGTGGTTGGGGTTGAGTCTTCCAGTTAAAGTCTAATTAGAGACTTCGATGGGTGCAGGAATCTCATTCAGAAACCGATGGTTCTTGGAGGTTTCAGACTATGGATCGCACTGGATTCAACGGTAGGGTTTCAACCTGTGTGCAGTTTCGGGATTGAGGTTTGGGGTTTTGTGCTAGGTGTCAGGGATTGGGATCTTGGGCTTACGGTTTCAGGGTGTTGGCTGTGGGGCTGAATTATATATATATATATATATATATACATATATATATACATATATATATATATAATACAGGGTTCCAATGGGGTGGGGCTTCGGGTTCGATGGTCCCAGTCCGACTCAGCCACTGTCCGATAGAGCCAAGACCTGTCCCAAGGAAAACACAGCGGCAGACCCCAGAGCTGTGTATCACCAGCCCCGAGCCAAAAGAAGAAGTCCAAGCCCCAAAAGCCCTAAAGCCCTGGATTCAGAGCAAAAGCACTCAGGGCGACCCAAAAGAAACAAAAGCAGAACATAAAGAAACAGTAGTTGCAACAAAGAAGAAGCATTCAAAACGGACAATCTCGTAGTCGTAGTCGTAGTCGTAGTCGTAGTCGTAGTCGTAGTCGTAGTCGTAGTGGTAGTGGTAGTGGTAGTGGTAGTGGTAGTGGTAGTGGTAGTGGTAGTGGTAGTGGTAGTGGTAGTGGTAGTGGTAGTGGTAGTGGTAGTGGTAGTGGTAGTGGTAGTGGTAGTGGTAGTGGAAGTGGAAGTGGAAGTGGAAGTGGAAGTGGAAGTGGAAGTGGAAGTGGAAGTGGAAGTGGAAGTGGAAGTGGAAGTGGAAGTGGAAGTGGAAGTGGAAGTGGAAGTGGAAGTGGAAGTGGAAGTGGAAGTGGAAGCAGCAGCAACAGCAGCAGCAGCAGCAGCGGCAGCGGCAGCAGCAGCAGCAGCAGCAGCAGACTCTTATTGGTATTGGCACTATTCTTAGTCCTACTATTCTTATCACTATATGAACCTTAGTATTACGGGTATTAGTAACAATCATACTACTGATCTTCATAATGATAGTAGTAGTGGTGCAAGTCGTGGTGGTGGATTATTAGTACTACTATTATTCTTACTATTAAATTACTAGTAGTATTATTACTATGATGATAATGAATCTTAGTATTACAGTTATTAATAGCAATCATACTGCTAATATTCATAATGATAGTACAAAGAATAGGGTTCCTCTTCAGGGATCTATAATCGGATTTTGTTTAGGGGATTTCTAATAGGGCTTCTTCTAAAGGGCTCTAGGGGACTTTAGGGTTTAGGGCTTTGGGGACTATAATGGTCTAGGATACCCAGTAACCTAGGAATATAAAGGCCTCTCTTTTTGGTATTGGGTAACTTTATAAGGAACCTAGGACTACAAAAAAGGAATAAGGGTACTACTGGGCATCCTAGTGGTGGTACAAGTGGTGGTGGTAGAGGTACCCGTGCTGGGGACCTCGGCTCGAAGCTCCTCGTGGAGGTTCTCCAGCCGCACTTTTCGCCGCGCCTGTCCGATTTAGGGGTTTAGGGGTTTAGGATTTCGGGGTTTAGGGTTTCAGAACATAGGGGTTTAGGGGTTTAGGGGTTTTCGGGGTTTAGGGGTTTAGGGTTGAGAGTCTGACGTTTCAACTGATTCGGGAGGTCTCAGGCTCTTAAGGGTTTAGGGCTTGGGGTTTTGGTTTTTGGGGCTTGGAGTGTGGGGTTTAAAATATCGGATCTGGAGTTTAGGGATTTAGGGCTATTTTGGGCGGGCTGTGGGGGTTGGGGGCCGTAGGGTTTAGCGTTTCGAGCTCGGCTCGCGGTTCTCTCAGGATCTTCGGGCGCGAAGGCTTTACGGCTTGAGGGTTTCAAGTTTCAGGCTCCTCCAGAGATGTTCATGGTGGCGGTTGGCTCAGTTGTGAGGCTGTAGGACATGTTCCCTGTCTCGGTGGATGAGAGGAAGCTAGGACAAGGTGACAGGGGTTTGTGGTTACGTGAGGGTTTCAGATTTAAGCCTTCAGGCTTTGCGGAGCTCTCATGTCACATAGTTACATGAAGCCCCCGGTGCAACAATTCGGAGGTCAGGCACCAACTAACCCAAGGACCTACAAGCTAGAACAACGCTGGCATGCAATGTCCTTTTGCTGCACGATGGCTGGACTCCCATTCCGGCATATGCGGAGCTGTGAAAGGATGTGGAGCTGCCAACAGTCTGCCAAGGGGTCTTCAAAGGCGCCGAAGCCGAGTAGAGCATCGCAGCGGGACTGGTTCAGGCTTCGAGGATTTCTTCGAGGCTTTGTTGGCTGCAAACTCGAACTCAATGAAGCAAGGCAAGCTACTCAAGCTACGCTTTGAATCCTTCATCCTGCGGCACATGCCTCGCGACTTATCTGAAGCCGCGCTGCACGCCTCAAGCGGTGAAACTGCTTTGTGCAGATCCTGCTCGGTAATGAGATCTTGTGCGGCACAGCTGGCCGAAGATAGCTCAAAGGAATGTGCATTCGGCAACCTCCAGACGTCCACTCGCACATCATCGGTGTCGCTGGAGGCCGTGTCCTGTCCAACAGCTGGGCTCAGGGCTGGTGCAGGTCTCCAAGCACATGGCACTGTTGCTTTTGCGCATCGGGGTGTAACTCCGCTGACATGCAAATATGCACATGGCATATAGGAAGAGACCGGGAGAGAGAGAGAGAGAGAGAGTGAGATACATATATATATATAGGCAGGGAGAGAGAATCTTGAACTTCTCGTGTTTCAAACTTTGCATGTCGAACTGCGCTGCATCAGTGTTTGGGTTGGGGGTGTACATGGCACGAAGGTGACTCTTCAAGCTCCCGGCTAGGGTTTAGAGCTTAGAGTTTGGGTTTAGGGCTTTGAGTTCAGGGTTTAATCTTGGGAAGAGAGATCGCGAGATGACGGTGAGACGTGTGAAAAAACACACAGATTAAGTTGGTGTGTCTACTGCATTCCTCCATATCACCCCTAAGCTTGAACCCAAACATGCCTCGAAACTGATTAAATGATACTAGCTGTGTTGCTGAAGCCGTGGGCCCTTCAGAAACGAAGACGCTGGTCCTGCAAGGAGAGATCGCCAAGCTTCCTTAGCTGGCTGCAGGCATGTGCATCTTGCTGTGCGGGGCGCGGGTATGTATGTATGTATGCATGTATGTATGTATGTATAAATTTAAAGTTTAGTTCTTTATGTATTAAATTGCTTATATACATAACTATATATATCTGTATACACAGCATGTATACATCTCACAGAAATCACAAGCCTTACGGGGCTGTTAGTTCTGAAAGGTTCGCAGAAATCTATTTCGAGCCTGCCGTCTACCGGGATGAATATGAATCATGAAGGCAGGGAATAACGAAGCTGCGGTATCTATACCCCCCGATCGGATAGAAACTGCCGCCAAGCCGCGAACTCGACAACTTCTGTTGCTGTGCACGCGCGTCCTCGCTTTGAGGCTCGAGAATCGACTGGAACTGTCCCTACAAGCATATAGGAACTATAAGAGACTTCAGAATACCGTTGCAAAGTATTCAGAAGTTGTTTAAAAAAAACCTGTGTTTTAAAATACACATTAATATTCGAGGTCTCAAGACCGTGAACCTGGCGACTTCCCTTGTCAAGTCCGCCTCCCATCGCGTGAGCTTCGCTGACCTGCAGAGACAGCCCTTTCAGAGTTCACTGTTCCTTCCTTCCCTTGCAGTTTCGCCATAAGACTCCAAATAGCCCCAAGTAGGTACTATCTGCAGACTCTAGACACCAAAGTCGGTACCATCTGTATGCTTGCAGTCTTAGGGTGAGGATTTTTGCTGTGGGGGGTCGTAAAAGTTCGCTGCGGCTCTCTCTGACCTGCACCGAGGTTCGTCTTATGAGGCACACACGGGATTTAGGGCCAAGTCAAGGGTTTAGGATTTTGTTGTAGGTCGGATTATGTAGGTGCATGAAGCATGTGTCACAGTATTCCACGGGACTGATGTAATATAATAATGTACGTCTTGTATGCTGCTGCACACCAGAAAACCCTTTCCCGATTAATGATGTAATGCCACTCTAGCCTGGACCCTAAGCCCTGACCAAACTTTCGAAAATCCGACAACATCTGATATTATCCCGGGCACTGTATCTAATGTTGTACAGTCTGTTTATACTTTTTATTCCCCTATCACTGTAAAAGTGAAGGTTGTATACCGAGGCCCGAGCACTTTGTCCGGACTTTGCCCGGCTTCCACGCAGATGTCAAAATAGGCGGACCGGAGCTGTGTCCAAGCCTTCACAGGATTTTTGTTCGGAGTCAGGTGTGAGGATTAGTGGTTGAGGTCTGTTCTTGGAGGCTTAGGGAAGAGGCCGTAGTAGGGTTCAGGGTCCATTAGGGTAGAAGGTTTAGGCTCTAGAACCAAGCCCTAAACTCCTCAACCCGAAACCCACAAGCCTTCAAGTAAGGGTTGACGGTTTTGAAGTGAGGATTTCGGGTTTCTCCCGAGTGAGGCCTGTAAGCCCTAGATGAAAGCTAGGAAGCTCTGCAGACTCAAAACCGACATCCTAAGCCCTCCTTGTCCCCTCAAATGATCCCAATTGAAGGGGTCTAGGTAGATATGTGGCATGAGATAATTACTCTGGAGTACAGATTCGGGTGGAACTCCTTCACGTCTTTCAGCTGCCAACGGAATATCCTTCAAAGCCTGACGTGGGTTAGAAGTTGAGCACGCAAGAAATTCAGGATCCTCAATGCACGGCTCCGTGAGTTCAGCGGGATCAATCTCAAACCCTGCCAACACAACGGGGCTTTACCCAAAAAGCCCAACATACCGTAAATCAGAATGGCTGTCCCCTTACGACTCAGCATATCTTCCTTATTTGCGGTTCCGGGTAAGTAGAACCTGTGACAGACCCCACACGCTCAAAGAGCCAGCTAGCCAGGAAGCTTCTACCTTAGAAGCTGCCCCCAGCTGTAAAAGTAGTGTAATAGGAATATAATAGGGCCCTACTATAATCCTTATAGTCACTATTACAGGGTGGGGGCAGCTTCTAAGACCAACCAAGGTTCAAGCTCCTGTTTCCGCTCGGGTTCCTGGATTGGGTAGGCCTCGACCTTTCTCAAAACCCAGCGGATGAAAGTAAGAGATCACCGGCTCTTATTTATCATATGGGTGGTTGTCAAAATTAGGGCCCCTTGTTGGGGGTGCCCTAAATGATAGGTTCCGTATCATAACAGGGACCCAAAAAGGTACCATAATTTTGACAACCACCCATATAGTAAAAACCCAAAAGAACTTGGAAACCGGATGAAGGGCAATTAGTGCTGGATTCCCTTTACATGAGTCGGTAGGGATTGAGGCTATTGGGTTTCCAACTTTTGGGCTTCTACTGTAGTTGCAAATCTGGACTCCGAGAGACCTTTAGAATCGAGGACAAAGTACACATCTGCGCCTCTGCCAGTTTGCCGGTGTCCAAGCATGCCATGCGGGGCTGCGACCTGAGCAAGGCTTAAGGGTGTAGATCTCTTCGGATTTGAGAGATTAAGATCTGGGCTTCAGGTGCATGGGGTTGCTCGGTGAGGGGTTTTGGATTCAAAGTATATACAGTGCACAGCCAAAACCTTCGAATCATTGTCACTGGAGATGTTGTCTCTCTGCGGCAAAGCAAGATGGGTCATCGCTGCAGTTGTAGCAATATGCCCAAATCATTTTGATAAGAAAATTACAACCGCACCCCAACTCAAAAATGAGAAACCGCATGACTCGCTCGGAACCCTAGACCCGCCATCCATGCAGATAAGCGGGTGGTTGTCAAAATTAGAGTCCCTTTGTGGGTCCCTATTATGATACTTCACTTATGAATTAGAGTACCCAAAACGGGACCTTAATTTTGACAACTACCCAAATAAGTATAGCCGTAAACTGTGGGTAGCAAGATCTGCAGGGCTTGCCGTTGTGTCGTATTGGGCCGGGCGAGGCATTGAACAATGACTATGAAATCCCATACCCCCAATGTCCGAATCTAGAAGCCTAAACCCTTCACACCTCTAAATCCCAACATCCTAACCGAACCCAAAAACCTTAATCCAAAAAACCCTGCAAACAACCCTGCCTCTACACCCCCAACTCCAAAGCCTAGCCCCAACAAACCCCTTAAACCGCAACCCTCCCCGGAGTAGCACCCGAAAGACAGAGCCATAGGCGGGAGTGACTCGCGAAACTCAGAGAGCCGGCGGAAGGCGCGAAGCCTGGCCCAGCAGGGTTTGGGGCTCAGACCTTTTACGTTAGAGTTTAGGGTTCAGGGTTCAGAGTTTAGGGTTTTGGGTTCAGGGTTTAGGGTAGCCCACAAAAAAAGCATGGGACATACCACCCGATAAGATCCTGCCTGTCGTAAGGCAGGCAAAATGACTCGAAAGCCCCTTCATAAAGCCCGCATTTAAGCCAACAGCACCCTAAACCCTAGCACAGACTAATAAAACCCTGTAAACCCATACAAAAAAAACCCTTGCAAAATCCTTAAAACCTTCCAGTCTCTTGGTCCCAAGACAGGCCATGGTGGACCCTCGATCCAGGCCCGTTCCATAGGCCGGAAACGTCGGGACGACTAGGGACCTTCCAACCTCGAAGGTGGGCTTTAAAGGGAACTCCAGAAAGTTGGAATATAGATTAATGGTAGGATCCCCTATAATATACCTTAAAGGGGTTACGATAATGATATTCCAACTTTCTGGCTTCTACTGTAGGGGGTTTAGGGTTTAGCGGCTTAAGGTTTCGGGATTTAGGGGTTTGGTGTTCAGGGGTTGAGGGGTTTTGGGGTTTTGGGTTTCGGGGTTTAAGGGTTTAGGGGTTTGGGGGTTCAAGGCTTTAGGGCTTCAAAGGCTCTGAAGAAGGGGACTTTGAAGACTTGTGAGTACTTAATTTGGTCCTTCAAGGGTGTTGTAGAGTGATTTTTACCGGGGTGAGGATCTATAGGAGCTTTACCTCAAAATGGCATTTAAGTGCATGCAAGTGTTTTGCTGCAGGGCGTGATAAGGGTCTTACAGGTAGTTGTAGGAAAAGTCTAAGTACCTCAGATCAGATGGGTGGGTGGATTGTAGGGTGTCTTGAGTTCAGGGTTTTTGGAGGGTTTGCTTCATGGGTTTCATGCTCCGCTATGGGCTTTGCCAGCTTTTCAACCGCACGCCCGAGTCAACGGCTCGAGAGCCACTTTGGGCCCAGTCTCGGATGTCTTGTGAGCTCAGTCTGGGATTTTCGGTTTACTGCCGTAGTTGTGTCTCAAGACTAACAAGGAACTTCGCCTCTTGGGCTTGGGGCGGTTACGGGTTAGTCCAGAGAAACCAGAGCTCTGTGCTCTGGCACTGACCCCAAAACCAAAGCTCCCTGTTTCTACGCCAGTCAGTTCTTGATCACGGCTTGGGCCGGATGAGTCAGTGGCAGGCGGTTTAGGTGGGTTCGCTTTGGGTTTGGGCCTTCGCCCGTGCCTGAGGGCTTTGGGCGTAAGGGCTTCGGGTTGAGCGTTTGCGGCTGCAGGGTGGAGCTCTAGGACTGTTTTCAGTTGCAGATGAGATGATGGCTAGCCTAGGTTGGGCGGAAAGCCATACAGACTGTAGAGCGACTATGACTAAAAGGGTCACTCCCTGAAAAACAGACCGCTATCAAGGATTCCAAAGGTCTTTCAAAGCCGAGACTGGCTCAGAGGGCGCACAGCCACTTGTTGCTGATGTTCTCCTGCCAGTGCAGTCCCGGGTCGTGGAGACACAGTCCTACTACGTACACTCAAGGCCCTAAACCCTAAATCTAGCGGTCACCCTCCCATTCTCTCAAGCTCTTCACATACTTTGCCGGAATCGTTCTTTCTGTCTGTGGGTGAAGAGAACGAACACTTTTGAAGAGCATGAATGTGTAAACAGATTGCGGGCCAGCAAAGAATCTTTTTGTTCGGCAGCTGCCCATTCTCTGCACGCTTTCACATACTTGCACGGTATTGTTCTTTCTGCTTGCCGGCGACGAGAACGATAATTTTGAAGAGTGTGAATGTGTGAAGAGAATGGACACAGGACATGGACTAAACCCCAAACTGAGTCCTACACCCGAAACCCAAAGACAAAGAGGGTTTAGAAGCGAAGCCCTACGCCCCGGACCCAACATCCCCAAAGCCAGAGCCCCAAAAAGCAGCCTTAATAAGTAGGGTTTGAGGGCCTGACCGTCGAATTTCAGGGTTCCCGTAAGGACTTTAGGGGCTACTGCTAGCGGCGTTATGGGGTTAAGGCTCAGGGTCTTAGGCTAGGGTCATGATCAACTGTTTTCGAAGTCTCCGGGAACACAAAGTGCAACTTTAAAACGGCCAAAAAAGACCCGATTTCTTAAGCAACGAACCCGTAAAAGCAACAACCCCTTCACCCCAAAAGGCCTCACTTACAAGTAACTCTGAAACCCATCGGCCTGCAGCATCGCTTGCTGCAGCCAGGGCCTTCGGGCTTAGGGGTTGAAGTTTAGGGTTTAGGGGTTTAGGGTTTAGGGTTTAGGGTTTAGGGGTTCAGGGTTTAGGGATTATAGGGCTTAGGCTTCGGATGTCGGCTCAGGGTGCTGCGTTGCGATGTTCTGGGGTTCTTGGATCCAGGGCTTGTGGTGAGGTGCTCCAGAAATTCGTCTCTTGAGCTTGGGGGTATCATGTTCCGAGTTGGGGTCCTTGGGGTTGAGAAGTTCGGCTCAGGGTTCAGACTTCGGGGTTCGGAGGACTTGGGGCCTTGGGGCTCAGGGTTGAGGGGCTTGGGGCTTGGCCTTGAGAGCTTAGGGCTGCGAGTTCGGAAGACAAGCGCCTGCAATCTGGAAGTCAACTGAGCTCGAACGCTACAAACCCTAAACCTTAAGCCTTAGGCCCTAAACCATAAACCCGAAACCCTAAACACTAAACCAGGAACCCTACACCATAAACCATAAACCCCAAACAATATACCACAAAGCCTCAACCATAAACCCTGATTGAACCACAAACCCTGAACCCGCAACCATACACTCGTAAAACTCCTTGCCCCAAACCCTCTGCTCGCGCAACGGTGCCTGAGACTCGTCGACGAAGATGCCAAGTTGGGAGGCCTGTGAGCAACGCAGCAAATGAGGGTCCACGTTGACCCAAATAACCTTTTCTCAACACAAATCTATACTGAAAGTAGAACCCTAGCAAAAAATATAATTTTAGCTGTTTCTTAGGGATTATAATAACCAAAAATTCAAAAATATTTCTAAGTACCCCTAAGAAATGTATATAAGGAAATCACGGTGAGGAACTCTGAAAAGGTCGAGTTTACTGGGTTGATCGACCAAGACTGCTGCCGGGATCTTTGCAGATTCAGGAGCAAGAGGCTACAGGTCTCGCCTGAGCTCATATAGGGTACTCACGGTTGATGATATAAATCCTGCATTACCCATAATAAGGAATATGCCATTATTCCCTTTGTTTAGGGTCCTTAAGGTAATGCAGGATTTATGTCATCAACCGTTAGGACCCCTGTAAAACCCTAGGAGCCGGAGGCGCCCAGAAGCCCCCTAAAAACCGGAACCTTACCGGGAACTGCAAAGGCAGACCCCAAGACCACCCCTTTTAGGGTGTAGGGTTTTAGGTGGTTTAAGGGTTCAGGGGTTTAGGTTTTAGGCGTTTAGGGGTTTAGGGTTCAGGGGTTCATTTTTTGTTTTTTTTGTTTTGGTTTAGGGGTTTAGGGTTTTTTGGGGGGTTTAGGAAACCTTAAGCTCCCCTGGCCGAGGCCTCACCATCCTGGAGCCGGACCAGCTCGAACATCGGCCTTCCAAGGAAAGATCAAACCATGACTAGTTCATGGTTGGGATAGGGTTTAAAATTCACATTTTTATTCCTTATTGGGTTTAACTACCCATAAGAAAGTAAAACGTTACCCAACTATGACAAAGATGAGCTTCCGGGTTTAGGGTTTTTAGGGCTTTTCGGCTTTAGGGCCTTAGGGCTTAGATGCTTCCTCTTAGGGCTTAGGGCTTTAGGGTTTTAGGGTTTTAGGACTTTAGGGTTTAGGGCTTTGGTGTTTTATGGTTTAGGGTTTTCCGGTGTGGGGTTTCGGTGGTAAGTTTTAAGTGATTCCGGTGTACGCTCGGTTCAGAGGTTCAGGTGGCTCAACTTGGAAATTCGGGCTTAGAGTTCATAGGCTTTGAGCCAAGGGGAGGTTCAAAGTGTTTGGATATCGGGTCAAGGGGTTCGCGGCCGGGACTTTCACCAGCTCAGAGGTAGAAAGTTATGTTATGGCTTGCCACGGGAAAGGGTATGTCTCCAATCTGTCGGCTTCTTGCCATAAACCCTTTGGGCAAGAGCCTGCGGAACTCGATCCAAATTGTCCCTGCAACAAGCGCTGGCGGTAAGCGGCGCCTGCGACGCACGAAGTACACGAAGTACTCGAAGCCCGTTTCGTCCTGCAAGATACACCAGCAACTGGGTAGTTCGTTTAAGCAAAATCTCGGTTGGATCTCTTGTTGCATACTACCGTGTACTACCGAGAATAATGGGGTTTCGAAGCACAATAAAACATAAACAAACTATATCTGCACTGGGGACTATAATGGCTATAATTATGGGGTAGTTTCAACAATTCTTCCGGCCCCCAGCCATAAACTGGGGTCTTGGCTTGCCCTAAACATCTGCAGCGCGCGAGCCGAACTCTAAAGCTTTAAACCCGAACCCTTCTCGCTCAAAGCCCGAAAACCGTCCATCGTCAAAGCCTGGCATAAGCTCAATGAAATGCAAACCCCTTAGACCCAGGTTTGAACCAAGGCATCCAAGACCTGAGGCCCGACACCAAGCCCTTTATAAGTCTCATCCAAACCTTAGAAAACAAACCTCTTCAAACACCACACAACCCATCGAAACCTTGCAAGCACCCCAAAACCACCGATTCCACGGCCTGAGTTGTCCTTTAAGCCCTTTGAAAATTATTTACTATTATGGTTCTCTACAACATTGTAGGGGGGAAATTACAAAAGATCCCCAAAGACAACCCAGAGGCACAATAAACCTTGAAACCCTAAACCCTAAACCCCAAACTCTCAACTCCGTCCTCGCCGAGGCTTCGGTAGCTAATCTGCCAGCCCTGAAGCGAAAAAAAAGCCGTCAGGTCGAGTTTAGGGGTACAGGGTTTAGGGTTTTAGGGTTTAGGGGATTAGGTTTTTCGGTTTTCTTTTTACCAGCCCCTTGATCGTGTCGCGGGCTAGTTTGAGGTGTGGATTTAGGCATTGGGCCTTGGTCCTTTTTGGGTCCAGATTATAGTACGGCACCGTATATTTAGGGTACCCTAGAAGGGGCCATAGTTTGACAACCACCCACATGAGTGAGGCAGAGACTAGGAGGTGAGTGCGGCTTGTCTTCCCCCTGACTTCACTAGCTTCAATGATTCGCTTCGTCGTCCTGGTGGCAATAAGACTGATACTGGTACAGTAGTCAGCTGAAACAACAGCAGCTACATAGCCGACAATGTCCTGTCTAAGCAGTCGCAGCAATATTGACGCTCTGCACAACGACCGCTTAGCCGTGGCTGCACAGTAAGTAGCAGACGCGTGGTGAAGATGCTGATTGGGCTTATGCTAAAGATGAAGAAGAAGATGATGATGGCGATGATGATGGTGATGATGATCGTGATGATGATGATGATGATGACGATGATGATGATGATGCAGATGATGGTGGTGATGATGATGGTGTTGAAGATGAAGATGACGATGATGTTGATGATGATGACGACACGTCCATGCCACCAATCGAGCTCCAATGCAGTGTAGATCTTATTCTTCTTCCGTCTGCAGTCACAGCTGTTTCCCGTTCTTCTTTCATTTCGACTGCCTAGTGCTCCCGAACGCTAGGCGCTTCAATCCATTCAGATCTTGATACCAGCTTCAAGGTTAAATAGTACCGCCAACCAGAAATCCTTGAACCCCAAACCCTATGAACCTTTAACCCCCGAACGATCCTTGCAAACAGTATAAACCTTAAACCCCATCAAAAGCCTTAAGGGCCCTAAACCCAGCCGCTCCTGCGGGAGGTCTCGAGGTCCGACTTGCGGCAAAGAGGCGTGGAGGACCTCTGGGCTTTTCTGACTTAAGGTCCTTGTTTGGGGATTTTAGGATTCGGGGTTTGGGGATTAAAGGGTGTAGGTTTTAGGGTTTTAGGCCCTGATGAACAGGAACTACGATGCAAACCGGTGCCTCAAAGACAACCCTGCGCAGAACAACATTCGTTTGCGCCTTCAGCATTCGGATCTCGGTGCTTTGCAAACTTCCGGGTTTAGGGTTTAGGGTTTAGGGTTTTGCAAACTTCGAAGCATCTAGGCTATGGACTATCATGAGCAACTTATCATGAGGAGCCTTCAGGAATAGCATTACCAATTATTCCAAGCTCTATGTCCTCCAGGACGCACTGAGACTAGGGTTCGGGGGAGTGCATTCTGCTTGAATTATAATGGTTTTCCGAAGGGATAATATTAGTAGTTCTGTCTGCTGCTACCCGAAGCAAGAAGTTGCTGCACTTGCCGCGAGGCAAGACGTGACCGTCATCATGATGACGGTAGGAGTAATTTCGCGACATAGCAACGTTAACAATAACAACTCCCTGCAACATTGACATGAGTGAGTGGGGTTCACATCATTGGAATGCTTAGGTCGCCGTTGCCGTCTTTGTCATAGCATTCGTGGTGGGGGCGCGTACCATCAACATCAAACTCCATATTGAGAGCGTTGTTTCTGCCTTGCTTGCAAACGATAGCTACGAGGTTGAGTAGAGGATCGGCCTCCAGCCGCAACTCCGGCGCAGAGTGGGTGATCCTCAGTGGGAAGCATCTACATCGGAAGCACTGTAGCGGCTTCTGGATTCGCGTCTCAGATGCCTGCGAATAAAGTTGGGAATTCGGAATTCTGGCCAGGTGGCAAACACAGCGGAAGGGCAAGGAGACCGATGACAATAGGTACAGGTCCGGCCAAGATAACGATGATAACCGAAGATGCTGCCTGCAAGACTGACCTCGCTGGCCTCAACCCGTTATGCGGAGCTCAGCGAACATGCGCCCATGTTGGATGAAAACACCAGAGCCGAACATTCAGCATCTCCCATCAACACAAATAACATGCAAGCATCAATGTGCAACAGTACTCATCCGTTCTCGAAATCCAGCGAGAGTTGCCAGCTGAGCCGGTAAGAACCGAATAATGGGTTGCCGCCAACTCCAAACCCTGAACCCTAAACCCTGAATCCTAAGCCCTGAACCGTGAACCCGAAACCCTAAACCTTGAACCCTGAACCTCAAACCATAAAATGCAGGAAAAAAGCTGCAGCCACGCCGAGTCAAGGTGCCGCTTCAACACACGGTCCACCTGAGGCCACGGTTTAGGGTTTAAGGCGTAGGTTTTAGGGTGTAGGTTTAGTCAGTTAGTGTTCTCTGAAGTCTAGGCTTTAGGAGTTCATAGGTCATACCCATAGGCCCCAAAGTAGTTCCTTTTTGGGGGTTCATATATGGAAGTCTATTCGGCAATCCCAAAAAGGAACTACTTTGGGGCCTCAGGGTAGGGCTCCGCTTCTTCTGTTCAGGCGTTTCGGCCCTTGGCCCTAAAGGCTGGGACCCCTGTCATCCCGCGTTGAAGTTCATTTATCAGAGCAAGCCCAGGGACTCCAATAATCCCTTAATTAAGGAATATTCCTCAAATCATATTGGGGATCCTACTATAATTTAAGGAATAATCCTTAACTAAGGGATATTGGAGCCTCTGGGAGAAAGCCCTACAGCTTCCGGTTCCGGGGGGCCTCAGCGTTTCGGCTCGAGGGCACCAGAAACCTCAAGCAATCGGAGACCCTATCTGAGGGGTGCTACTGATCAACACTGAACGGGATGCCATAGTTAGGTAACCAAGTTCAATATATCCCTTCATGAAAAGCTGCCCATTCAAGATCTCCACCGAAGATGACTGATTTACGGACATTGAAGTTTCCAGCAGTTGGGCCTCGTTGCAGAGGCTCTCCGCGGGACCCGGGCCTGCTGGCGTTCTGGTTGAAGGGGCGGCTTCTGATGATTCTGACGTTAAGATTTAGGGCTTATGGGTTTCGGGGCCGTGATGATGTGCATACTGAAAGAAATGGCTCCTACTTCGAGTAACAGTGACAGTCGTAGTTGTCTTCGTCATCGTGGTAGTCCAGTGGTCGGGGTAGTGGTACTGGCAGCAGTCGTGGAAGTAGCAGTGTAGTCGTGGTACTACGGGTAATGGTAGTGGTAGTGGTTGCAGTCGGGGTAGTGGCAGTGCTAGTGACAGCGGTGGTGCTAGTTGTAATCGCAGTCGTAGAAATAGTCGATGGAGCAGTTATGATGGTTAGGGCCCCCCCTTCCCCCCCCCCCTCCCCCCTCTCTGCGAGCATTGAACATGTGTGGCGGGCTGTTTTGTGTTCGCGCCTGCTTGGTCCTGACGTCGGCCCGCATCACTTGCTTCGAAGGCATCGAAGGTGCCCTGGCCGCAAAAACACAACATGGAGGCCTTAATAATTAGAATAGGGTTTCGGGGAAGATCAGCCTATAATACGGAACCCCCCAAAAAAGTACAAAATAATTATCAAGGCCCCCATATTAAGAAATGTTGGAGTGCAGAATCCCCGAAGGCTCACCGTCAGGTGCTGTGCCAATAGCAATATGCACCAGGTGGTCTTGGCGGATGCTTGTTTATCCACTGCAGCTGAAAAACGTCAACCACATCCTAGAAGGGGCATCTCGAAGCCACCAAGCCTTGTCCAATATCAGGTCGAAGTGGCAGTTCTCGAACGGCAGGCTTAAAAGGTCTGCGAGAATCCACCTCGGTTCAGGGTCTAGCTTTCGGCTTTAGGGTGTGAGCTTAGGAGCTTGCCACCCCCTGCTGCGTGAAGGCCAAGACCCCGGGCTCGTTCAGCGTGGCTGCCGCGTCTGGGCTCTGCGATCTCGCTTTGCGCATCGCCTGCAGCACCGCAAAAGTCCAGGCCCTCATGCGTTGTGGTGGAAGTAGTAGTAGTAGTAGTAGTAGTAGTAGTAGTAGTAGTAGTAGTAGGAGGAGTGGGCGCAGGAGCAGGAGCAGCTGCGGGCAGGAGCCCTAGTACCCGATGACCCGGTACTCAAGACCTCTCCGTCGCACTAGACCCCTAAAGTTTAAAGTTTGCCGTCAAGTTCAACACAAACTGCTCTTCTCAACAATGCCACTTGTCCCTTCCTCGATCGCGTTCTTGCTGAAGTCCACATTGGAAACATGCAAGCTGGACTTCATGGTCAGGCTGCTCCTGGAGCATCGAGAAGCTGACCATCACCACTGCTTTAGCTGCATTGTAGGCCCAGTTCTCTTGTGTTTATTCTTGAAATCTCGATAAAGCCCCCTAAACCACGTCACCCTGAACCCTAGATCCTGGCTATGCTGGTGCTCCTAAAGCTAGGGAGCGACCTCTGGAAAGAGTGAGGGCCGTCCTGCACGTTTCAGGGCCTTCCAAAGCAAACGCCTCATCAGGATTTCGATTTCATGAAGGAGGGACATGCGTATTTACCTCGAAAAGAAGCTTTTTTAACTAGACTGGGGTTTTGCGGTATAGAGCAGTACAGTCATGTAAAATGGTTGTAAAATCGCGCGACTGAACCCCATGGGTATGTTACAGAAGCCAGTCTCCTCGCCAGCTCGATGCCCAGTGTACTGGTCCCGCATCCGATGTGCAGTGCGCGCAAAGCGTCTCGATCCTGCGGCTTGACAAGTTCCGGCTTGAAAAGTTACGGTTTGGGATTTAAGAAGGTAGGCCTCAAGAACTGCAGCAAACCCTGCATGAACCCGTAGAGCGCAACTTCTAAACTCTCTGAACATGGTCCCGCACCCTTACAGAACCCGTAGACCAAATCCTCAGTTTTCGACTTGGCGATGCTCCGTCGTGCTGCAGCCAGCACGATCACGGTTTCAATGGCCAGGTTCTGCTCACTCTCAACATCCATTAGCTTTTGTCATGGCGATGATGATTATGATGATGAGATCTGCACCGACTGTTTTCCTAGGAAGTCTAAACCTCTCACAACCCAAATCCGAAACGCTACTTGCGCACCGGTCCTTTGTCGAGGAACTCTGCGAAGCACAGACAGTCTGGACTGTCGGCAACAGGACCTGCCATTTCACGGTATGATGCTTGAAGGGCTGAGGTTGATGCAACGTCTTTTTTGGTTGAAGACTGAACACCTTTCGGGTTTGACTAGTGGTTTTGAGGTTTGCAACATGCTTTTCGAGAGGAGTAGGGTTCTAGGACGGGTGACATAAAGTTTAGAGTTTGGTACTTCGGATTTCCGGTCACGGAGCTAGGGCCTGCTATGCCCAAAAGCGCACGATGCGCCTCCAAGCACTTGCTTGGCTCCAGGAACCACTCCTGAGCAAGATGCTACCCTCCCCAAGTCCAACATGTAACCCGAAAAAACGGACGCTTGCAAAACATGGGTATTCAGTGTTCCATGGTAGTTCGGGCGAAAGTTGCAGCCACAAGTCTGGGTTAAGGCTCAGGCTTTGATGCGCCAGGTCCGCCTAAAACCCCAGTATCGGAAGAACATGCAAACGGGCTGAAAAGTGCGCTTATTGAAGAAGGCGTTGGAAGGAGCCAAAGAAGGAAGGCGCAAAGTTTCGTCAAACCCTTCATGTTCCCAGTTGCTGCCGGGGAGCATGAGAGAGGTCGCTGCTCTCATGATACTCCTGCAGCTTAAGTCTGAAGGGTCTGATATCGGGGCCGTAACAAGCCGAATATCTGCAGGTTTGCTTGAAAATTAGCGTAGCTACAAAAAAGAGACCATGTGGGAATGTTGCAAATGATTCCGACCATAAGCCACGTTCCTCTACACGTCCCCAGAAACCCTAAACCCTAAACCCTAAACCTTAAACCCTAAACCCTAAACCCTAAACCTTAAACCCTAAACCCTAAACCCTAAACCTTAAACCCTAAACCCTAAACCCTAAACCGACTCTACAGGATTTGGATCACGAGACTTTACAGGATTCGGGTCGAAGATTCAGTGTCGCGGCTTCGGGATTAACGCCGGCTTGGTGTCTTCGAGGCTAGGCCCCTAAACCCTAAACAGCTAACCCCTACCTGGACCCTAAGGAACCTACCTTTTTAGGGCCCCCTGATATGATTTCTTTAGATAAGTCCCTAAAGAGGTAGGTTATTTGGGGTTAAGGTAGACCCCAAACCCTAACTGGGTGTAATTAGCGAAATTTGCAGGAGAATTCCGTCGTGCAACTGATGCTACATTCTGTCCCTGCACTTCCTGACACTCCCATACTTCCTACACCCTAAACCCTTAACCCTCAACCCTAATCTTCCGGCTGGTCCTCCCAGTAGCTGCGCCGCATGAACCGCGATGGGTCTGAGGGATCTGGTCTGGCGTCCGCTGGCTGACCTCATCTACGAGGCTCAGGGCTTAGAAGACGGATGTAGGGTCCAGGGTTTGGAGTTTATAGGGTTTAGGGTTTGGGCTTTAGCCTAAAACTCCAGCTTTAATTCGATCCAAAACACAACGCGAAACTCAACACCTCAAGCCAGCACGTAAAGCCCGAAAGGCCAACGTCAAGCTCAACGTAAAACCCACATTCTTAAACTCCCAACCGAAATCCAAACCTTGCTCAAATCCCGCGAATCCCCAAACCTGGACTCAAGAACCTTCGACCCGCAAATGCCGTGCAAGCTGCTGGCGCCAGTCTGGCTCAGCGCACCTGAGACTTCTCCACGCGTGCCCATGGGCGGGAGGCTTTGGGCATTTGGCACTTGACGCTGAAGGTTCCGGGGTCTTGAAGCTTTCAGGCTTCAGGCTTCGGCTTTCGGGTGCGGGGGCATAAGGAATTCATGGCAATGGGCTTTGGGTGCATAGTTCTTGTCGGGGGCATGTGAGGGATTGAGGACCTGGGGCTCCCAGGCTGAAAGATGGCCTAGGAGGTTTGAAGTTACGCATGCTCGCTGCAGCTGCTAGGAACTATTAGCCAGGCTGAAGCAAGCCGAAAGTCTGTAAATCCGAAACCCTGCACCCCAAGCCCCCAAAATTCCAAACCCTATAGCCATACTTATGCACCTTAGACCCTAGACTCCTATAGATCCCACTGTTTAGGGTGTAGGGTTTAGGGTTTAGGGTCCCTAAACCCTAAACCCTAAATCTCAAAAGTAAACCTCAAACCTGAAACCCTGTGCCCTACTCCCTGCTTTCCTCTTGTTCCGAGGTACGCATGCGGCCGGTGGCAGTTGGCCGGACATGGCGCAGAAGGCGTCGCATGGCAACGAAAGCGAAGCTTGGGTGGCTTCTCTTGGTCAGAGTGTGGGGTTTGGGGTTATTAAAGGTTTGGGGTTTAGGGCTGTTGGGGGGGTTAGGGTGTAGTTGAGGGTGTAGGCTTTCGAGTGTGGGTTTTTGGAGTTTGGAGTTCACAGCTTAGCTTAGGATTCAGGGTCCAGTTCAGGAGCTGTCGGAGTTCGCTTCGATGTCTTATCGGCCTGGGGGCTCGGGAGAGCCATGGGATCAAGTCATGGATCCAACGTTCTTGAGCCTGGGAGCTCTCGATCGCTCGTGTTGGGTTTATAGATATCTATATTTTGGTGTATGGGGTTTAGGGTTTGGGGTTTGAGGGTTCGATGGGCAAGCATGAAAAACCGCAAACTCGCACAGGCCAACACACTGTTCAGGTCAACTCAATGCATCTGGAGGAGAGCCGAGGGTGTAGGACCTATGACCAGCAGCCCCACGCCCATGAACAAACTTGAAGCTCTACATATACTCCTACGCCAACGAGATCCAGTAGATCCCAAAATACTGAAACCCTAAACTCCTGCATCCTAAAGCCAAAAATTGCCCAAAGCCCTGTTTCCGAAAACCCAAAAATCGCAAACCCTAAACTTTTGAAACCCACGTCCCAGCCCCCGACACCCCAAAATCCCGAAATCCTACCTAGCCCTCTGGAATTCTGAACAAGAACTGTAGGTATACAAAAAGCCAAAGCCCTGAACCCCAAAACCATGCTACTCTGGGACTTCGAACCCAGGGCTTCGCCGGAATCTGCGCCAAGATGCGAAGCCTGGGATCAAGTAGGGCTTATACTACAGGATTCTTCAGACGATCCTTCGAGGGATCCTTTAAAGGGAACTCAGAGGGTTCCATCAAGCGGTCTTATGTGTGCTGTAGGCTTCCAAAGGGCTCCAAAAGCGTCCTGTAAGGTTGGTTGGTTGGTTGAAAGACACAAGTGTGACATCTCCGGGCAAAGAGATGACGGGGGGGGAAAAGCCTTAGGGTTTCGACGAAACTCAAGGGCTTCGAGTTTGGGGGTTTAGGGGTTGCGGACAGAGAAGCCTGTAGCTGCTTGACCCAAAGTCCCGACATCCGAAAATGCTGCCGCGGTGGCGCGGGGGAATGGAGAAATGCAGACACAAACACACACTCTACAGATTGAAAAGCCCTCTAAAACCTCTACGAACACGAAGCAAGCCTTCATAAACTCAACTACAACCACGCACAAAAGAACCACACAACAACGACCAGCAAACGTACACACACACACAAACAAGAAAAAGCGAATACCCCAACCGCACCCCAAATCCCATACCCCGTAACCATAAATTAAACCGTAACCCAAGCCCCAGACCTTAAACCCCAAGCAGGCGCTGAGCTCTCCGGCCAGCCGACATCGCTCTGCGCATACTCCGAGAGAGTCGATCGGAAAGCGACCTGCCAAGCTGGGGAAGTAGGGTTCAGGGTTTGAGGGTTAGGGTTTCAGTAGTGCCACTACAAAACAACGGGATCTTTATAAGTGGATATTGGGGCTTCGGGCTGTATAGGCTTCAGCGAGTTAAGTTTTGAAGTTTTGGGGCTAAGGCTTAAGGGATGTAGTGCGACTCGGTTTATGGCTTGGTCCTTCCCTGCATCCTAGATGCAACACACGATACCCTAAATCCCAAACTCCCAGCTGGACTGGCACGGTCCGTGCCCATGTGGCTCCGAGTATCATGTAGCTTGTGACAAGTGGGGTCGACAAGTGGGGTCCTTCGTGATGGCGGCCACCGCTTATTTGACGAAACCCGGGCCTCCGCCGCTTGTGTAAACTGTAAACTCCGGACCATCACTGAGAAGATCCTTAATACTTAGAGAAGGGGCTTTGGGGGTGGTCGATTAAAAGGTGCAGCTAGCACTTTTGGGAGGGGGTAATGCTACTAAATCTTCCGACCACCTAGATTACGGCCTACACCTAAAAGCCCGAACCTATGTCCGAGAATGCGCGTTGCCGCTGAAACCTCCCAAAAACACAAACAGGAAAGGGGAGTTGGCGCTGAACGTCGAAGCCCAAGACACTCCCCAAACCCTTACCCAAAACCCTAGACCTAGACCCTAAGCCCACGACTCAAATGGAACTTTTGTTGCAAGCCTCCAGCTTGCTGCCCTTCGATGCCACTCCTGCGCCAAGCAATTCCGTCGAGTAAGCCCCAGAAGCAACTTCACAAAAGTACGTCGTTTAGCTCTGACTCTAGCTCTAAATCCTTTTGGGCACTGCAGCCTCATAGGGCCCTCAGAATAGCCCTACAAAAACCTTCATTAGGCCGAGTCTAGGGTCAGCCATCAGGTGTCACCAAGCAGGAGGTGTGTTTTGCAACTGCGATAAGACGACTGCGTTCACACTTCAAAAGCCCAGACGCCAAACCAACGCCGCACCTTTCAACAACCTACAACATCCTGAAACGCTCCAATCCACCAGCACCCGACACATGCTTGATACTTTTAAGTCTCCATGAACACTCGGTCAGGACAGGAAGGGATATGAAGGGATCTTCAGGGATGTTCCAGCCTGTGAGGGACTATGGAAGAAGAACGGCATGTTCTACATCACCCGCAACATCCCAAAGCCTCCCAATCCTCAAACCCGCGATCCCTAAGCCCTAAGCCTCAAACCTCAGACTTCACGCCCTGCTACACCCCAAACGCCCGAAGCCCCGAACCCTGAACCCTACAGCAACCCTAAAAAAACTTGTCTTGTGATATCCGCACAAAAACCCAATAAACCAAAACCCATAACCCACAATGGATCATTCAACGCTCCAAACACCCTACGAAAACCCTCTGCAGACTCTATGAGGACCCTGCAGCCCTACAGAAACCTCTTAGACCCTATATCCCAACCCAACCAACACCTGAACTGGGTGGTTGGTAGTTTTGGGGCCGGCAAACACCGTAACTGGGTGGTAGTTTTGGGGCCCGCAAAAGTATTTATGAATGGGTACCTCCAAAAGACCATAAAGGAAAATTCTACAGTTTCCCGAAGTGTCACCTAGTGGACCAGACCTCACTAAGTTCAGCTCCTGGTTCGCTCGAGCCCCTTGGGCTTAGCAATTGCAGCTTCCGCAGCGTCCGGCGCCGAAGGCACACGAGAGCCTGTGGGGGTTGAGGGGGTCACCAGTACAGGTGTGAAGTTTAGGCTTTAGGCTTTTGAGCTTTGATGCAAATAAGGGTAGTGTATAAGAAATAACATATGTGCATATGTAGCATATGTATATATGCAGCTGTATAAAGATACCTGCACATGTAAATGCATGGGCAGTTGCACGTGTAAACGCCAATGTAAGTGGCACTGGGAGAGTACATGTACGTGCAAAGGCAAAGGTGAACGGGACAGAAATATGAATGGAGATTTAGATTTATAGATGTGAATGCATGCAAGCCAGCTGCAACTGCGACTATCTGCAACTGTAACAGTAAGTGCGACAGTTGTGGTGGTGCAATCTAACTTTAACATGATGTAATGCAATGTAGTGTGCTGTTGTGCAATGCAATGTAACGCATTGTATGTTTGTATGTAGGTATGTCATATCGTACATGTATTTATGCTGTATGTATGTAACGTATGTATGCGTGCACTTCTGAATGTAAGCATTTACGCACATGTATGCGGGCTATAGCACTGTTGGGGATTCGAGTTTTGAGGTTGGTAGAACCGGGAGTTGTGAAGCTCAGGGTCTCTGTACTGTCGCTGGGGCGATTCGAGCTCGGAGTTCGGCTGCGCAACCCGGCCTCCATCTTCTGCTGCGCCTGGGGCAGCATGGGGGCACTTAGTTGCTGAGTTCATGAGCCCCAAAAAGTCTACACTTCGGGTTTTATAGTGGGTAATATTATCCCACAAAGTGTAAAGTGTATCCACTCAGCTACTAAGGGCATCTTCGGGCTGTGGAGGAGCTTAGGGTCTTCCAAAGAAGGCGCCTCCTGGCCCCTGCAAGAGGTTAGGATGTGTGTGTGTGTGTAAGGTTTACGTTTAGGGTTTAGGGTTGCGGTTCGGGTTTAGTGTTACGGGTTAGGGTTTAGGGCTTCTTCTGCGCATGTTGGCGTTGGGATTACAAATGGTAGATGCAAAGATGTTATTGTAGCACACTCCCCATCCAAGGTTTGGTGTTGAAGAAGGCGACCTTAAGAATTAGACTAGGGCTTAGACACAGTTATACAGAGACTCACACGGGATGATATCAAGTTAACTACTCAATTCTCCATACTCGGATCTGTCGAACAGTGTCTCTTAACAGCCCTCCAAAAGTTAAGATCCTGAAGCTTGTTCATGCTCCGAAGCCTGAAGTACCGTAAATAAACCGCCTGATCGCGGAAGCAACGCCACTTCAAGGGACTTGGTAAACGGGTTTGACGAAGGTCTAACCCTGACTACAGTACTTATGAGCATACTGACTAAAGGTATTGGTTCTTTTAATTAACCAGGACCCTGTACTCGCGAGCAAGCGTTAAACTTCCCTAAGTCCACTAGAGAATCTTAACCCGAAGACGAATCCTAGACCTTCTGAAGCACTAAGACCCTACGCCCGAAAACCGCAAAATCTAGAAAATGCCCTTACACAAAACAGACTCTCAATCCCGCACCCCAAACAGGCCCGCTATATCCCAGTATGTCAGAAACTCGCAACGTCAGCATCCTATGTCGTAAACTATGGCTAATATGATGCCGAAAAATCCCGGAACGTCCCAACAAGTCCGACGCCTTCCCACGATCCGCGTGGTAGCCGGAGAAAAGGCGGAAAGGGCCCAGATTGGTCTGACAGTTTCGGGCAGTTGCTGTTTTCCCTTGGGGTTTAGGTCTAGGGGTTTAGGGTTTAGGGTTTCCCTTTGTCATGGAGGGCGTGTTTACGGTTCAAGTCGTTGGCTCCGGGTTTCGGTCTCAGGGCTTGTGAGGCATACGGCTTGCCTACGGCTTGCGGTTTTAGGCTAAGGAGCGGTTCAGTGGTGCAAGGTCCAGGGCGTGG